CAACAAAAATAAAAAAAAAAACACTAGAACAAGAGTAATTAGTCACTTCCTGTAGTTTTTTTGAATACGATTTCGATTTTTAATCGATTTTTGCTCCATTGCGTCAATTTTGAAAAATTTGCAGTTAAAGTTGCAAAAGAGGGCTATTTTAATGTTATTTATTATAAATTTGAAAAATTTTTTAAATTATTAAATATACGAATCTGTGATGCCAAAATTGACAAATTCAAAATATATACAGAAATATTTTTGCATATATATATATATAAATATAAAAATATTTTTTAAATTTTGACGTCTGTTGTATTAATTCCGTCATTTTAAATTTGTCAATTTTGATTTTTGAAATTAGATTCATATTCAGCGAGTTCGAATAAAATAATCTACTAAATAATTGAAAATTATTTGTAATAATTTATATTACAAATCTCCCAATCTTCTCCATATTCAATCATTAATATGTTATTAAACGCTAAAAGTCCTAACAATATATTTAATTTTGATTGCAATAAAACTTCTCCAACACATCAAATCGTTATAAATATATTCAAATACCTTTTTCTTTCAAATTTCTCAAAACTATGACGTGAAACAATTTGGAATCATATTCAGTTAAAAAAACTACGGAAAGTGACTAGTCTTTAGAATAAAAAAAAAAGTTATTTTTTGTCCAACTGTGTCATCATCGAATGTGAACTTGCAAAAAACAGAGACGCGATGTATATCTTTCCTTCGAAAGATATATTACAGTCGGCCCCCGGAGATCGTCGCACTATACAGGAAGAGTATCGCGATCGGTTTTAATCAAACACAAGGAGTCTTCTGAATCGTGACGAGAAGGGCGCCGAGGAACCGGGATCCCGCCGGAGGATTCGCCGAGTCCCTCGACAGAGTAGGTATTTGCTTTGAGCGGAGTTCGAACAGTTTACGACGGTAAACTTGTTAGATGTGAGACTCCGGGCGCGCTCTTGCGGCCCGGTCTTAATCCCGGAAGATATCGTCCGGTATCCGCGGATTAAAATCCGCACTTTAGCGCCCTCCGTTTCTCCCCCATTGGTTATCGTCGAGCTCGAGGGCAACGAGAAGTGGGATGCGAGATGCGTCGTTCTGTACCAAGGGGGAGTCCGAATATAGTCCGAGCACTTAAAGTCAACGCCAGGGGCGCACTACCGAGATCTTACCACCTTCCCTCTCCGTTTCCCGTCTCCCTTATTCCGCTCAACAGCCCCACCGACCTCTCGCTCAAGTCCCTAAGTACTCATGCAAACGAGCGGCTGAGCTTACGAATTAAGTGGAACCGCTGCATCGTTATAGCGCGCCGTCTGCTCTCTGAAAAATGCTCACCGTCGAATTAAGCGTACAGCACTCTGGCACAAAAGGGCCGGGCCCGTGTTCCTCTTTCTTCCTTTTTTTTTTCTTCTTCTTCTTCTTTTTCTTCCGGGAGAGTTTTCTCAAAGCGACGAGATCGCCCGATTTGTATAATTAGCGACGACGAGGCTCACATGGACGTTTGGCGAAAAATATAATTTTCTGTGCGTAAGACAGATTCTTATAATAAAATTTGTATTGAAAATATTTCCAAGTGTTGCTATGTGCATAAATTTAAGAGCGATCGATGGGAGGAGCACTTTTATGAATCAGTGAGAATATTATGGATTAAAATGGTGATCAGATTTCCAGGATCAATGAAAACATACTTTGCTTTTCCATCTTACGTTTCATTAATTATGATAGTAAGATTTTAGTGAAAAATCAGTCATTAACTGATTTTTTTCAATGAGATTTCGCTATTTTCTATACTTTAACTGACATTACTGCTAATCAGTGATAATATAATAATTTTATTTAAAAAAGTATCGAATATACTGGCGTTCTTCAATATAATTTATCGCTTGGTTATTTTTAATTGCGTGACAGAACAATCGATATATTAATGTATGCTTTTATTTATATCTCAACATGATTAAAATATTATTAAATTTAATTGAAAAAGACATGCAATCTCGTATTTATAAACCCACGGAAATGAAATGATAAAAAATCTCTCTTTATTTCTCAAATTTATTTATCGTATCTGTGAAAAAGTCATAAACTCTCAGGCAAAATCTAATAGAATTAAACATAATAGAATTAATTTCGAGAGATGAAGCGGCAACATGACGTTGGCCAGACGGCGTTGCGCGAGAAAAAGAAGCGAAACGAACAGGGAGGAGAAACAGGGATGACCGCGGGGGTGAAAACGATGAGAATCGGAAGCAACGAGACGGTTAAAACGCAATCAGGATTGGCGGGCATCGTGAATAACAATGATATGGAACTAATCTAAGCGAGAGGCTGTTTCCGCGTCGTGCGCTATGTGCTTTCCGGCTCGAGATCAGGTTGCAATTTTAAGTGCCGCGCCGCATGCTGCATCGGACCTGATTAAATTGCATTTCCGGCATCGCACGCCACCGTGAATAACAATGAAACGATGGCATTCGGATGGCACATTTTTTCCCCGCAATTCCGCGAGGCTTCGAGGAATCGCATACCGTCCATTTTCCCGGCGATTTTCGTTTGATTACGCCACGCGCCACGCGTATGTAGGTTGAAAAAAAAAACAAGTTTTTTCCCCAGAAACGATTTCATATTCTGCACAACATCATATCGATAAGGAAATATAAATATTGATAACCGCATAACATCTATATAAAATGTAAAATACATTCCGGATTCATTATGTTATATTAAATTAAATTGAGATTGACTTTTGCGAATGGAAAATATTTATACAATTTGCAATAAAATAAATCTTTGTTTATTGTTCTTTTTTTTCGTTTCCGACGGAATTTTTATAATTCTAATAGCATTTTTCAAATATTTTTTGGGACATGTACTGCGCGCGTCCCAGTGGTGTGAGAAGAATTGATGGAAAACACATATGCTCGTAAACAAAACAGTTTTCATAAGCAAAGTAAAACTCATTTTTCACAATTTTGAAAATTTGAACTTTTCGCGGCCGTCAATTTTATCGATTTTGCTTCCAGATGAATTTCCGTGACTCGCGTTAAAGCTACAAAGGATAGATGATGTACCTGCCACAATTTTTTACTGGTATAGCTAGCAAAATAATCGGAATTTACATTAATAAAAAAGAAGGGCTACTTCAACGATTCAATAATCTCGAAAATTTTCAGTATTTTTCTCTCACATTTTTTATTTTTAAATGAACATAATTGTGCTATATTAAACAAAATTTACTGCGAATGGATTCAAACAGTTTTTTAATTAAACAAAAATTTGCGGAATGTATTATCTCAAAAATTGTATATTTTTTTTTGTACAAAGAAATTACTGCATATTTTATATCTGATTTCTCTCGGTAGAGTAATTAATTCGTAAATAATTTTTCATGACTCGCGAATCTATGAATCGCTTTCAGATATATAAGACACGGTCGGAAAATTTGAATCAGGATTAGCATAACATTATTTATGAAAACTCATTTCAGAGAGGGAGAGAGAGAGAGAGCTGAATACACATCCTCAATAAGTATGAAACGAAGCGAGATTGCGCAGAGACCGACACTATTTCCCGTAACAGGAATTATTTCCGTCTGTATCCGGTGCAAGCTACGATTACTATCGTTACACGGTTCTCTTTTGATCACGTCGTCAATCTGTGTTCCACAACTCCGACCAGGTAGCACAAATATTGGCGCGATAATCAGCAAACTAATACATATCGCAGTAAAATATCGATACAACCATGCATCAAATAAAGTTTCTCTCTCTCTCTCTCTTTTCCCTTTAACAAATTATTTAAAAAACCAGGAGGGTTACATACACGAGCGCAAAAAAGCGGCTATTGAAATCTTAATATATTATTAGAAGAAAACTACACATATATTATAACACACATGTACATATATTATTAAAAAAAAGATTTAAAAAGAATTAATGATATAAAGAAAGCATTCTGCCGTATTGTAATTGTGTCAATCGTTTTTCTCATATCGATTACCAACAACTTCGCGAACTGAAACCGCGGCTAAAATGCGCCGTTAATAGTCTCTCCCTCTCTTCATAGGAAATAAGGCACATTGTTTAAACACTTTAAAGCGATAACGAAGGGCAAAAAATATTTTGCGTGCGAGCGAGCGATGTGTGTAATACATTGCATTTACTTTCGCGCACACTTTATTTCGATATCGAAAGAGCCCGGAACACTCTGCGGAGGCCCGCCGTGTAATCTCGTTTTTAATTTTTCAATCACTTTGATCGCGTTTTCCCGAGCCGTGTATATTCCAGTGTATTTATTGCCTTTCCCTCTCCCGCTTCTTTATCGGCGCGGCTGGCAAGCTATAACTTCCGGTTATCGAGCAAACAGCGGTCTCGAAAGACCCCCGAAGTCTCTCTTCTAGTTTTTGTTTGGCATACCGCACGGAGAACTCGGGGGATATCGGCTAATTTAAAAGTTCTCGGAGAGAAACTCGTATACCGCTTAGTATCCCCAGCAAAGCCCGTTGCACCGTGTATACGAGCTTCTCTCGCGCCCATCATCCCTCGTTTTTTCGGCTCTAAATGATAGGTACGAAAAATACGTGTAGAGAACTTTTACGGAAAATCAATTGCGAGAGACGAGCTAGATTAAAACCATTAGCCCCGCGCAGATAACGCATTATGAAACTTAAAGTAAAATAAATAACTTTAATAAACTTAAAATAAGTTCATCGTCTTATTTGTTTGTTGCAGGTAAGCCGCAGCCCATGGTCAGATGGCTCGTAAATGGCCGGGTGAAAGACGAGGAGTACGAAAATAATGCTGGTGATGTAATCGAGAACAGGTACAATTTCTTCGACAAAAATATCGGGGCGTGCATATTTTTTATGCGCGGAATCTTTTATCGTCTTTTTTTTAACTCTGTGTGGCATGCGATTAATTTTTCTTTCACATGTCTGCTTAATTTCTCTCAACAGATTAACGCTACAGCCCATCAGCCGGTCTGATCTCGGCTCAAACTTTACCTGCGAAGCGCGCAACACGGATTTGGTGGACGCGAAGGAAACCTCGATTATTTTGGATCTTAATCGTAAGTAAATTAAATTAAAATTAAATTCTTCTTTCGTCGATTCTCAATTGGGGAAAAGATTTCTCTGCAAGAAAAGGCGACGTTTACACGCGGATAAATATTCCTGTGTACGAATTTTCGCTTTTCTCTCTCTTGCACAAAAAAACCGAATGTATTTTATTAAAAGCGCAGTAGACTAATGAAAGTAAAGGGGAAATATAAATTCTTATCACATGGCCAACAAATCAGAGAGGCCTCGCCCCTAAGCCTATCTTGTCTCGCATTAACGATAAAATCTACGAGACACCAAAAGTGGGCCAACATCCTTTGCTCCCTCGCCGCTGGGTGAGTCGCCTTTACGGGAAGATAAGGCGAGATAAGACGAGAAATATATTAAACCCACTTTCTCGGGGAGTGGGGGAGGAGGTGCCGGCTCTCCTTCGTCGTCTCTCCCTTTCCCTCTACTGGGAAAGAGCCCGAAGAAGCATGAAAAGCAGACTATTCTCTAGGCTTGGCGAAATTAGAATTCTTCGTTAACTCCCTAGCGCGGGGATGGGAAAAGGACGAGGTGTAGAATAGGGATAAGATCCTAATTTTCGTACTACACCGAAAAATTGGCAAGCGCGCGAGATTTTATCTCGTCGGGCTATCCAACGCGACAGATTCGAGACACTGATAGGGATTTTCGTGTTCGCCGCCGTTTCCACCCGCGACCCTTCGATTATTCGATTACCGGCCCTTGATTCGATTACGCCGTTATCCATCACCGATGTTCTCGTAAGGATTCCATTAGTCTCGTTCGCTTTTTTACGCGTGTATTATGGAAGCGGGAATTTCGCTTTTGCCCGAAAAACATTCGTGATCGATACGCGTCCAATAATCAGGCCCTCCAAAAATCAGGGATTTTCGCTGAGGCCACTAACAAAATTGAAGGCTAGTTATCGACGAGCGAGAAGACAGAGAAAGATAGAGAACCCCATCATGGCGAGAAATAAAAAAAAATTACAGATTGAAGCGATCAGAGAGAAAACCGTGATGAGGGGAAGAGAAGGGGTATCGAGATCTAGCCTGATTTAACGATTGAACGCTCTTTTATTTTTCGTTACTTCGGCAAAGTGTCCGCGCGTATTTATTTCCCGTCGTGTCGTTTTATTTTATTAAGTCGCGAAATAAAAACCAGAGGTTTTCGTACAAACAGGATGCCCTTCTGTGCTTTCATCAGTGTACATCAATCGCGAGATCGCCGTATCGACGGGCGCATCAGCGCTCATTAGCTTTTGCGCTCATTAACTTTGAAGATTGATCAAAGTTGGCGAATGTTATCAGGACCAAGCTCCATTGCTACGATAATAGCATACATATTTATATTCTATATTTTATCTTACAGTATCTCGCATAGATTATTATTTCAATTTCAAATTTTATAAATATATAGTTGCATAAATATATATTTTTCAATGTATTGTAAGATACTGGCAGTCTCATAGTCAGAGAAATTACTAGTGGCGCACGCGCATGCGCTTTATCGATAAATACAAGCGCTATATTCAAATGATGATAGCAACGCGTTTCCTTAGATACATAAACTATTTATTTAACAAAAGAGAATTGTCATAGCAATAGGTGTGTTTGTGAGATCGGAGGGATGCCTGAGCGTCTTTTACCGTAAACCGTGAATCAGATCGGACGTGTCTCGTTGATCTCGTGTGATATGCTTAATTGATTAATCACATTTGTATTCTGAGTTTGTAATTAGTTCTGAGTTCGAGTTTATGAGTTGACCAATAAAAACGTGTTTCGATAAGTGCTCAAATTATTGCTTTATTCGATTTCTCACGTTCACTATAATATTTATATATACAGTTCAATAATTCATGGTTCAACTGTTAAACTATTACCCTTTTGAAAAAGCCATTCTCCTGACAAACTACAAATTGACTCGCTGTCTTACAGTATGTCTAACAAGCCAATGCGACATTTTCAAAAAATTGAATAACCGATAATCTATTTTTCTGGTAGAAGCGCTCCAAAAATTGTGTATGTCAGATATTTATTAAGCCGAAAAATGGGACATGAAAGAAAAGGAGAGAGAGAGAGAGAGAAAGAACTACTCTCCATTAGAATAAATCATTTAATAAAGCAAATGGAGCGTTAAATATTTGTCATCAGTATTTGCTGGAAAAAAGGGTGGTAAAAGATAATAAATAATAGAGATTGTGACTATTATTATCGGAGCAAAGTGCATCGCAAACAACCGTATGGAAGCTTCTATTCACGATTTTTCATATTTCACAGACGAACGAATCGTATCTAGTCGACACCGGCGAATTGGAAACCTGAATTTATTGGCCGACAGAGCGATCGTCACTTGGCGAGAGTAAAATTTAGAACATCGCAGTTTTTATCGCACACACACACGTACACGCGTACGCGAAGCTCAATAAAGTGCGAAATTATTTAATAATAGATTAGGGAACAATGATTGTGAAAAGTAACAATGCGCTTCGTGGCCATGGGGCGGGAAAAAGGGCAATGCCGTATAAAATATTTATACGACTAAATATTTTGTGCAAAAATATTTGCGAATAAATGCACGTTAGATGCACCGCACGTTCGCCTGTGCGCGACGTCAAATATATTTGTTTAACTTACGCAATTACTTTCACGTTTTGCGCGCGACGCGACGGTCGTATCGATACGACGAAACGAAATGCCGATATGCTTCCCCCAAAAGTGAAGGGAGGCAGCAATCTATCATTTTATAACGTGAGATCCATTTTTTGGCCAATTTGACATGGCTACGGTTTTTATTCATTTTTTTTTTGATCCGTCATTTTTAATTTCTTGAGGCAAATTGTAGTAAAATGTTGATCTGAAATACAAAATATCAAGTGTATTTTTATGTTTATATTAGTAGAAATTTTTGAGAAATGCCAACTTTATTAACTTCATTTTTAAATTCATTTGAGTGGGAATTTTTGAAATGTTTATATAATTTTGAAGAGAGAGAGAAGCAGAGAATTAAAATTTTATATGCGGAAATGTTAAATTAATTGATTGAACATTGCTAGTTTTAGTTATTTGAAAATTATAATACTGAGAGTATTTTTAAGAAATATTTGACTTTTTCTAAGAAATTCAGCAGAATACTCTGGTAAAATTCTATGGCTCAGCATCAGGCTCTATGTTTGCGCATAATGTATAGACAGTATCCTCGAGAGTTATCCTTTTCTTTCCAGTGAAACCTCTAGCTGTGATCATAAGAAGGCCGGGCAGGAAAGGAATCGGCAACGAGTCCCTCCTAGCGGGGAAGCGATACGACATGGAGTGCGAGACTACTGGTTCAAGGCCACCCGCGGTGATAACCTGGTACAAGGGCCGGAGAAGACAGCTGAAGCACACGACGGTAAGGAAGAGAAAAATAAGAAAAAGTAACGCATTGCGGATCATCGAGCTAGAAGTAGCCGCTCCTTATCCCTCTCGTGGCTTACCGCGTGGCGAGTCCCGTATCTTTTATCTCACGGCCTGCACAAAAGCCACCTCCTCTCTCATCCGCCTCCTTCTTCCGCGACCTGTCGCTTTCATTTTTGTTCCGGCACTTTCGTAAAACACCGAGGATACACAGCCGAGGACTCCGCACGCTTTGGGTAATCCCAAGAGGCGCGAACTTTATCTCTCGGCTACGTGCTTCGATTAATCAGGACTTATTTGCTAATAGCATCGCTTGTTGTAACGCGATTCGATTTGTACGTAATTCCCGCGGCGCGCGGAGGCACGTAATTAACGGTTGAGCTGCGCTTATTATCCTCGAGTCGGGTCATCGTCGTTAATTAATCGTCGACCAAGAGTTTAAAAAAAGAGACCGGCAGCCGGGATAACACGATGGCGCCTTGTCAGACTCAATTTCGTCGAGTTGTTTCCAACTTTCATTTATAAAGCTTAGGAACTTTGTGTCTTTTAGCTGTATTTTTTCCCGTGAATTCGTAAATTTGTACAAACGAGTTCGTTGCGAGTTTTTCCTGCGCTGAAAAGTCTGTCGAATCGGAAATAGTACGAGCTCGAGATTTCAATTAGTTGAACACATATTATTTTTGCGCTCAATGTCTCGGAGAAATGTTGACGAAAGTTCGTCAAATTGTTCTTGGTCATTCACAATAACTCAGTTCTATACATTTGTGTGTGTTGTTTGAGTAGATATATACACGTGTAGCTTGTTAGTTTTTTTGCAAAAAGACTATTATATCAAGAGAAGTCTATCGTTTACAAGAATCGAGAATAAGAATTTTCTCAGCGTAACAGCTGAGGCGTCTCTCTCGTTTATACGGCGTTCTCCCCTTGAAAAAATTGCCACTTATTCGCGCCAATTAAAATCCTTGCGTTTGAATCGAGTTGACTAACGAGACCAATTGATGCTTGAGAAATAGAATCCGATGCCGCGAGTCGTTTTCTCAGCAATACAGGATATATCCCAATATAATAGCGAGAGTCAAGTCAATTTTCCAATGACACTCTCGTGAGTTACGTGCCGGTTTCGAGCTTGTTCAGAATGAGACGTTCAAAACGAGCGCGGGGAAGAAGGTCGGGGATAAAAAGGTCGAAACGCCCCGGGGAACCGATAACTACACCCCTCGGTAGAGAATCTTTCCCTTGGGAGAGATTCTCGCGAGGGGGAAGCACAGTCATAAGACCTCGGACGGACCAGGACAAAGAAGAAGGATATAGAAAGCGAGAGAGAGAGAGAGAGAGAGAGAGAGAGAAATAGAGAGACCAGGTACAAATAAAGAATCGGTACTCTCTCCGAACGGATTGGATTCGCTTGAGCTCGAGTCACATCCGATTGTGATAGCGGGTTGAAAGCAAATCGAAAGGGAGGTTGAAAGCGGCGATAGCGTCGGCGGGTAGCGGAGATCGGAACTTTCGAGACGTGCCGATTGAATTAAGCAGCCACACCTGTCGACTCCAGATATTTTCATTGGCGGCATGCTAATTGCCAATTAAGCTGTACCGATTCATGGTTTCCGTCCGCAATTCCAGATTCGAACATTCGCTTTACATTTACATCTCTCTTCTACGGGGGAATAGTCGCGCGTCGAGACTATCGAAGGGTGATGTCCGCTCACCGCATTTAACTAAACAAATGAAAGCAAGTTGCGGAGAGCGAACGTTTCGAATGACAACGCGACTAGAGTTGATCTACACGGACGAAATACTATAATAAAAATTATAATATAATTTTAATAATCGTGAAACATATAGTAATATATAAAAGAAATCATAATATTTTTATTCAAATTTTTCACATTTATTCAAATTAATATTATACAGGGTGAGTTTTTTAACTTGAAAGTGTAAAATATCTCGGAAAGTAAGCTTTATCGAAAAAAAATGTTTTAAACAAAAGTTGTAGGGTTCGGAGGGGGCTACATGATAAAAATATGGATTTGATCGTGAGTGACCTTTTCAAGGTGAGATCAATGTGATCGACGTTTTCTTAAATGGGTATATTATTCAAATCATAAATATTATTCAAATTTTTTGGTGCACGAACAAATGCATAATTTAAATTTTTTATAGTAATAAAATATCTTAATTTTATTATATTCCAACTGTATAATAAATGTCGTAAAGAGGAATGTATTTTTTATGTAATTGGTACTGTAAAATTTTCTCCGTGTATCTCGCGCACGGCATGGCATATGTATCTGTTATAAATATTAAAAAATTCGAACCGTATTTACATCATTTCGCACGCCAACATTCGTTCTCGACACAGTTTTTTTATATCTAAATACATGATTAATTTTTCTTTTTCAAAGAGATGCTGGATGTTTGCATTCCAATACTCTTCATTTCCTTTTCGGGAAGGGAATGTTTATAATATTTAGGGGGGAGTGTCGGGGAAACTCTCGCTGTATAATATCGAGTTATATAATACTCGTCAAAATATTACGATACTAAAAGCCCTTTCCGCTAAACGTGGCCGTTACAAGAACGGACGCGAATCAGCGGGAAAATCTGCCGCCGGGAATATTCGACAACATTATCCGATAATGTACGTAGGTATCGTCAAGAACGCATTACTGCTTGCTTTCTAGGGTATCTACTAAACTACATCTGAACGAGGGCGAAGAGGGAAACTCGCTCTCCGCGGGGAATCGTCATTTATTAATCACGACGTAATGAATGAAATGTCAAATCGACGGGAAAGATATGTCATGTGTAATTATGAAAATTAAATTGCTCCCATAAACTGCTGTATTGCGAGCCAGGAAGGTCGTATATCGATCAATGGTTATTAATTATATAATGCTGATGTATAATTGTATAGGAAATGAAACTCTCTCTCTCTCTCTCTCTTTCTCTCTCTCTCTCTCTCTCTCTCTCTCTCTCTCTCTCTCTCTGGCCCGCGTATAATATTAGATTATATCTTGCTTTGACCGTCCTGTTAAATTTTAAGGTCCATAAGTCCGTATCACGATACTATATGCGCGATGTCGGTTCTATCGACATTTTCTTTAAAATATGAAACGTCGTAGAACTCTCTCTCTCTCTCTCTCTGGCCCGCGTATAATATTAGATTATATCTTGCTTTGACCGTCCTGTTAAATTTTAAGGTCCATAAGTCCGTATCACGATACTATATGCGCGATGTCGGTTCTATCGACATTTTCTTTAAAATATGAAACGTCGTAGAATATAGGTCATTCCATTCATCTCGACTTATATCTCGTCTCGTTTATATCAATAAGAATATCTAACATTTTATCCGAGGTGATCTAGATATTATTAAAATAAAATATTGCGCGGAGTCGCGCGTGATTGACCGCGTATGTGTGGCCTCCTTGAAATATACGGAACAAATTTAGCTATATTTAAAACGATGATAGCGTTAAATCGAGCAAGACGGATATATTCATACTTTTTTCATCTTTAATTATAACGGGACACGATTATAACGGGATTTGCCGTTTCTGCGAATATCTTACGGAGACGCGAACATAGTAATCGTACGATCTTCCTCGGCGCAATTTCCGTGCGCGAGATAGTTCATCATCGACTCGGACTCAAATGGAGATGCCTCGATCACGTCGGACGTTGCGAAACTTTATATGTCGGCATGCCGCTCGAATCGCGATAGTTGAATACGTACGGGAGGAGAGGGGGGGAGGGGTATGTCCCGTGGGGCCCCGCATTATCGATAATCCGGAATCGGCGCTGCAACTTCCGCGCGTTTGGTCTCCGAGAGAGAGAGGGAGAGAGAGAGAGAGAGAGAGAGAGCGCTCTTTGGAGTTGGCGTTGTCTCCGGGCGTTGTGACACGCGGCCCTAATTAATTTCACGTAGTTCATTAACAACCTCCGGCCGCAATGCTCAACGACGTTTTGGCGTCTCTGTCCCGTATCGCGAGCGCGCGTATTCCCCAAACGGGCGAAAACTTCGTTACTGGTTGCCGTCTACTTACGGATCTGGAAACTAATGTACTCTCTCTCTCCCTCTCCCTCTCTCTTTCTCTCTCTCTCTCTCTCTCTCTCTTTCTCTCTGTCACTCTTGCCATGCAACGATTAATTTTATATATTTTATTTTTTGTTGCAATATGGTGAGATAAAAATTTCTTCACCGTAATAAGAGAAAGAGCTTCTTATCTTATATAATAATTATATCTTCGTCAGACGCGAAACTACGTCACGAGAATGATTGATTGCCAGCCGGCAAAAATTTTTGCGCAACCCCATGTACGCACCGTTTATTTCACCGCGGTGTACATTTTCTTCTTTTTTCCCGCAGTTATTATTTAATGATTCCACCTTCGATTCGTTTTGGCTCGTAACGTGAAAAATCATCTTGGGGATCGCTTCGTTCATTTTTGTCTATTATTTTAAAATGTACCTCCGTCCCTTCAGTTTTCTCTCTGAACTCTTTTCACATGAGAGATACGAGCGGCATAATTTACAATACAAGCACTGAATAACTCTCACGTTTCTTCATTTCTGTATGAAAAGTAAGCGAAACCTCGCGCTCAAAATCCGCGCTGCTTAGAAAAGATTTTTGCCGCGTCGGCGGGAGCTTTTTCGAGGGAACGAGATTCCGACAGATGTTACCGCGGTTGCTTACGCTCTCTGTCCCTGCGGGACCTAATATAACTGAAATTAACCATGGGTTGCGGCGCGTCGGATCAAATTTTTCTCTCATTGTTTTTTTGTCATTCCGTTTTCGCTCGCCACGTTGCGCCACGTAATTATACCATGCGAGAGCATTTGAAACTCGATCCTTTCTTTCTCTCTCTCTCTGTCCGCAAAATTATTATTTTTTAAATTTTATTTATCCATCTCCTCCTCCCTCCTAAATGAACGTGGAACAAAGAAGAGCGCATATTACAGTATCATTCTTTTAATCCTTATAATACTAACGTATATTGTAATGGATTTTTCAATTAATTAATTTTATGATATATTTTCAAAAGAGAAAATAATATATTGGATATATTTTTGTAATACTTTTTATTTTTAAATCTATCATTGACCCATTATTATTAAATTATGCATCTAAATACAGTATAATATGGTATACACAATGCAGTGTGCAAAAATTATTTAATTTTTGTATTCGTGCACGTGTGTTTTTGAGATATAGCTTTTAAAGTACACGACGTGTTAAATTATACATGAGATTTTATTTTAAATCTTATATATATACAGAGTGTATCCTAAAAAGTGGGAAGTATTGCAATGAGAGATTCAGGACACAAAAATAAGAGAAAAAATTCATATAAACAGATGTCCGATATGACTGTGTTTTCAAATTATAGCTTGTTTTATTTTTCAACAGAATTAAGATAATTACGGTTACGGGAAGTGCTCAAAATGACTACCTCTAACTTGAATACAGGCTTCAACACGTCTCATCATAGATTGTCTGACTTTTTCAAAAATTCCGGGTATTGCTTGAATTTCCCGGCAACCATCTTCAACACGTTGACGAAGTATCTCGACGTTGTCAATGGGTGTTTTGTAAACAATGGATTTTAGATGCCCCCACAAGTAATAATCGAGTGTATTTACAAATTAACAAGACCTTAAGTTCTTTAAATCTTGTACATAAACAGCAAACCGATATCCAATAGAGTTATTGGAAAATAAAACAAGCTATAATTTGAAAACAAGGTCATATCGGACATATGTTTATATGAACTTTTTCTCTTACTTTTGTGTCCTGAATCCCTCATTGCAATACTTCCCACTTTTTAGGATACACCCTGTATATAGTGTCCCAGAATTATACCGACAAACTTCAGGGCACTAGAGAATCAAAGACTAGCAAGGGAACCTCGCGAACCTGAAAATTCTGATTCTGATGAAACTTTACACACTTACTTACATGTAGAGGGAGTAAATAGATGAATTTAGAAATTTCCAGTTGTGGCTCATGAATAGATGCGCAGAATATTCCTTGTGATATATTTACTATGATTGAGTACAAACAAACGAGTATAATTAAGCGACCTGGCTCTTTTCCAATTAATAGCCATCGATTATCCATATTCGTCGTAACTCTCCAAACATAAAATATTAATTTTTTTTATCGCCGGTATGGCTTGTCTATTCCTTGAACATACAAATATAGATCTGTGAATATAATAATCGAGATTACAAATTCTCACATTTTTTGTTTTGTTTTTATGTGTGTAAATATTACGATGCAGTGAACATATTTAGAATTGTAGTCTTGTCTCGACGCTCGTTAACGGCTGTGTTATCAGTCTCTTTTCATCTTTTTCTTTATATTATTGTCTGCCGTATTATAACAGCTCTTCCCGCTGTTGCCATTTTATTTCCCTCTAGAGAGTAACCTTCTCTCTTTATTTTGTAGTACCTTCATTATCATTTGCTTGTGGAGCGTGATCGCACGTTTCTCTGCAATATATAAAACGTGATTATTTATATGTTTGTAAAAAAAAAAAAGGAATAATGTTTTATGCAACGATACTTGGATACAATACGTTCGCTTAGAAATATTTTCTCAATATTTTCTCGATTTCTAATTGGGGACTACAAGTTCCTTGTTTTCCGTCAATTCAATATTATCTCGCTGGAGTTTTTCTGTCTGACTTTTGTACTCCTCGTACAACCTCTTCCATTGTTTATTATATTTACACTTGATATGCAATCGCGTGAAATGCGGCCTGATTTTTCTGGCTGTATAAAACTTCAGAAGCTTGCGCGATAGATTCTTATTTCTGGGTAGATCGTTTGTATTATTTTGTTCGACCGACTCTATGTTTACCGATCGAGGGTCGCTGAAATGGAATACGGAAACTTATAAATTTTTAACGATATCTTAATTTTTTTACATCGAAAGTTCTCTTTCTCCCTCTTCCTTAATCAACAATAATTCTATGTGATTCTTTAATAATTCACGTGTACAACGAAATTATTTAATTATGCTTTTATAAAATTATAATCTTCTATTTTCTTTCAATTGTCTAATTCGTCACTTATGGATTAAGACCCATTGAAAATTTTTGTCAAGAATAAAAGAATTTTGGCGACTCATGCCATAAGTATGTAGCACTTTTGCGAACATTTCAGGGCCAATTGAGCGTTCGTCTTTGTCGGGAATTTGATGATTCCTTCGCCAATAGTTTGATTTCCATCGTCAACAAAAACTATCACGCGCTTGACTTCGCCAAACGCTTTTTCGAGTAGTTCGTTAAGTATCCAAGAGCTACGTTTTTAACTCTAATTGCGTGAACACTGAGATGTATCTCGAGCTGTCGATCTTTGTACCACCTATCATGCAGCTCGCGTATTGCTTCCTTTGCATTTGCTGCATAATCCTACAGTGCAGAAAAAAGATCATCAGTAATGACAATACAGTTTATATTAAGAATTTTTTGCAGTCGATTAATCTGTTTCAAACAGGATAATTATTATAATTATCTTGTATAAAAAAATACGTAATTATTGTTTAAACATTAATTATATACGCATCTTTTTCGCGATTTCGATGATAGCGTAAGCTCTCTCTAAGCTCACATTTCATTACTTTTCCGTATTTTTCTAACAGTATCCGTATTTCTTTCTCTATCGTGTCTTGCCTCAAATTTATACGCAATGTACATATATATATATATTTATATATTTTATGTATATATATATATATATTTATTTAATATATATATATATAATATATATAACTGGTGAGGTTTTTGGCAGTTTTCCTTACCCGTGCAACAAATGTTGGTATTCTATGAGATTCTGCCAAAAATAAAATATTTTATTTTCGTTTGCATAAAAATGTGTTTTTAATTAATTATTTTATTACCCTCTTTCCTTTTTCAGCTTAGTATTTTATGTATATATATATATATATATTTATTTATTTATATTGTTACTCATAACAATATAAATATAATTTTTTGTAGTATAATAAGTTTTATTTAAAATACATAGTATATTTCTCTCGGAAGATGAGATCCTTATTGAATAACAATAATGCAGATTGTGAAGATCGTATGAGACATAATATATTCTCGTGATTATTATAATAAGTGTTAATATCACGAAGCAGAACGCAACCTTGTAAAGAATTAAGATACGAAACAACCAGATGCAAGGAAAGGAGGATAATACAATGATTAGTATTTATCGACGTTGTCGATAACATTACATATTCATAGAGTTACGAAATTTGGCCTATATATAGTAGTTATATAATTAGCATAATGATTAAAACACGAAGCGACTAACAGATGAGAGGCAGGTTAGATTTTGTGAAACTCAACGCAAACTGGAGTGGGTTAACGCAAATAACAGAGATTCTAGAGACGCAAATGATTGAATGGGAGTGCGCGCGGCAGCGAATTGGATGCTTTGTATTCAGATGCTAAGTGCAAAATTAAATATTAAAATGAAGTCACTTATCAGGCCGTAACGATGGTAAATTATGAATATCAATTAAACACAATTAACGTAATTACGCGAATAAAACCAACCATGCTATTTTAGAGATTTTTGTTCTTTATTTCAATAATTAAAATATAAATTGTAATTCAATAGTTATTTTATCGCGTCTGATATACCGCTGAAGTCTTTTTTCAGACTTATGATTTATAAAATGTACAACAGAATAAGAATGAAAACATCCAGAATAATTTTTTTTTCATCAAAGAGCCAATTTTATACAAAAGTATTAATCAATTCATGAAGCTGATCGAAGCGCCTCATCTCTCGCACTCACTTCCGCATTACGTCGAGTCGCGCGATGTGAATAACTTTCCGTCGCGAGAAATTGCGAAACGCGTTTTCAAGAGATCGACTCAGGCGGCGCATTCCTAGTTCCTTAATAGAATATAGCAGTTGGCAACTAGGACTTCCGCCTGAGCGAAAACGCACATATCCCGTTCTAACGCGCGTGCTAATTCAGCGTCGTCTATCTCGAGTCCGGAGCCTCTCTCGCATAAGTGTTCCGACCTCAACTGTTTGAATTTGCTGTTTGCATTGACTGGCGTTGCAAACGAAAAGTTTCGCAGACAGATACACAATGGCAATGATAGGACAGATGCAGCGGGCGAATATAACAGCGGTTAAGAGACAAGATCTCTCAAGATTGACTGAACTTCTTTAGCTATTTAATTTTTAATTGCTAATATTGCAATATACAGGGTGTCCTGCAACGTGATGTCCACACTGAAACTGTGTATTCTTTTTGTCATTCTAAGTCAAAAAGTCTTAATATACATATGCCCTAAAGTCGATTGTTTCAAAGTTATGGCGAAAAAACAAAATTGCATAAAATAAGAACAATATTATTTATTAAAGATAATATTATTTATTGATAATTAAACGATAATTAAACAATAATTTACTTTATAAACTACTTTATAAATTGTTCAAAGTGACCACCATTTGGCGGTCCACATTATTTATTTTATTAATTCGCTCACTTATAAGTTCGATTTATGCACGAATGATTTACAGATGCGCATTTCAAAGTGTCGCGGTTCCCGCGCGATTTACGGAGCGAACAAATCGACGTAATAGATAAGAAAGATAATTTCACAATTTCACCTGGTATGGTCCGCAGGAGGAAAGATCGGAGAATCGAACCGTCAGCACGGTGGAGTTCGAGCCGGGTGTGGAGGATCATGGGAAATCTATCACCTGCCGGGCGGAGAATCCAAACGTGACCGGACTCTTCGTCGAGAAGTCCTGGAAGATCGACGTCGTGTGTGAGTACACGTTACATTTTTCCTTAACGTTCCAATTTCTCGCGGACCGTAAACTCGCTCACGACCGACAGATCGCGAAACTGATCGCGGTAAATCGAATACGACAACATGACGAATGGTACGTTACGGTGTTTATCGATCGCGACTCGTTCTCGTTCTCTCTTTCGGCTTTATCAGTTTCTGTAAATCGCGCGCTCACACACACCCACACGTGTCGTAAAAAAGAAAGAAAGAGAAAAGAAATCGCCCGATAAACACCATCTTCTCATCTTCATTCGAATCCCGCCGAATCGGCCGACTTTACGAGCATCTTTTCATCCGCGTACATCTCCTTTTGCGCGTCCTTTTCCCTTTGTATCTCCGAGCGCGCGTTTTTCCCCCTTTTTACAACGTCAATAAAAGGATCTCCGCGAGATTTCCCATAAATTAGAATCGAAATCCAACGCGGGCGCCGATCGTCAGGTACCTTCGTCAGAACTCTCGATCTCGAGATTGTCATAAAAGGAAATTGTACTGAGAAGAACAACGCATGAAGAGAGTGACAATTGGCAAGAGTAAATAGAATCGTTGATGGGTTTTAATAAATTTATTCGTCATTTCTATCTGCGTTTACGCATTTATATTCTCAGCCATGTAACTCTTTTGATTATGAGATTTGACGTTTTTACCTTCTACTGGTGATCCCGCAATTCTCGAGATCTTGAATCGCTAAATGCAATGTTCATTTCGACGCATACGATTATTACGACCGAAACGAAGATGCTTTCTCCGCGATAAACGCGTAACCGCGATGTAAAAGGAAAATGATGCTGCGCGTGATGTTGTGCGTGCGTGTGTGTGTGTGTGTGTGTGTGTGTGAGTATGTCGAGCGAGACATCGCGCGCCGCCGATTTCACCGGACGTCTGTGAAATTTATCACACACAGCCACGCTCATCCGGCCTCGTAAAACTTTACGTTCGACTTATATCGAGAGTTATGACACGCTTCTCGACGCATATTAACCGTCAGATAGCGAACGACGTGACAGTCGCGCGCATGAATGTCGGGTCAATTTTGACTTCCGTAGCAAAAAATTTCTTTTATACATATTTTATAATAAAGTTTTATATTGGATTTCAGTATTGTATTATATTTAATACTATCTGCATATAATAATTTAAAAAAACATGAAGAAAAACAATATTGTATTTTTAAAAAATATTGAAGAAAACCAAATTTGTTTTTTATCGATGAAAAAAAAAACATGTTTTTTTCAACATTTGTTTTCTATTGGAAAAAGAAACAGTCTTTTTACATCTCTAGTAGCCGATAATATTGTATCTTGTTTATCATCTTGAGAATCACTAATACGAAACGTTTCACATTTGACGGCCCCAGAAAATGATGCGAATTATATTTTCCGGAAATTATTTTATAGCGCTTCGTTGAATTTGTCTCGGTACAACGCGATCTACAATGATACTTATTACTAGACGACGATTTTAAATTTCCTACAAGTCATAAAAAGCTCGTTTTTGTCTTTAGTGTGTAGTTTGGAAGAAGCAATAATAACGAACGCTTTTACTGTCGTGCTATCATCATGCGGGCATAAGGCAGACTTTATACGCGCAAACGGGTCCTTTTGAATCGCAAACAAACCGTCACTTCGCTCGCGCTCGCGATAAAACGGTTTAAACGTTCAACACACTGCTCGTCGACGACTCGTAATCTCGAAAGTTTTCGCGCACGAACATCATCCGTCTTTAATCTACACCAGGGAAATTTCTCGCAGCATCTCTAATGTTGCACTCGAATAATAGCGTCTTAATATTTATAAGCATTGAATTATAATAGTCGATTTATCGCGAGAAGAAAGTATAAAGAATTTAGCGCAGCTATTCCATTTAATCCATTTTTTCTTAATAAGTTAAGAAAAAATTAATCTGTATTTTTATTAAGTTTAACACAAATTCAAATATCCTAATTATTAATCTTAAATTTAATTTCCTCAGCTTCGCAATTACTTTTCGCGTGTTCTTTAAAAAATGGGTTAGCAGTGCAGGCACGATGAATCGAATGTTTTTAAAGAAAACGGCGGTGGTACGCCAATATCACAATGCAAATTTATATCCGCAAACGTCGACATACGCGCACAGGGAGGAGTGAGCTTTGATAGAATAAAGACCGGCTATCTTACGGTTTGCGCGAGGCAGCCGTGTATCTCACCGTATGTTCATTTTAATTGTATAATACGTATAAATAACGGGAAAAAGCGAGAGCCGGATGTGCGCGCGCTCGGATATTTTTTTCAATTTTGCAGAGGCGCGTGCGTTACTTCGGCAGCGATAAATTTCTCGATCCCGGTACGGTTTATCGTTCGTTCTCATCTGTCCGGTCGCACCTGCACGTCCGGCAAAAATATAGTCGGCGAAACCCCGGGAAATGTACGTAAGGAGAGCGCGGACGCGGGATTCGCGAAGCAAGAAAAACTGCAGAATACGGGAAATGATGTCGTGTCACGTATTCGATTACGTTGATCGTTCTACGAGATCCGAAATTACGCCACTTATGTACGTAAGACGTAGAACTGTCGACCCCTCGTCATCGTCGTCGCAGTCGCCTATCGATCCGCGAGATAATAAAAGGGAAAATCGAGTCTTTTTTGGGATGGGGGGGGGGAGTAATTTCTTCTTTCAACCCTTTTTCATATTAATGAACTTTGCCGTGATTTACAAAGGAAATGTGTTGTACTATCAGACGGTAGATCACTACAGTAGAGTTAAGGGAAGGATTGACGGAAGGGTTGACGAGATAAGACCGGGAGATAAACCGACGTGATCAAGCTAATTAATACTATTTCGCACGAGTAATGTGGTCCCAGAAAAAAGAAGAGTCAACTTAGAAAAGCGGGGGATTTATTGCGATGAACGATAAGGTTCTGTGAGAAAATACGCCGGGAAAATAAATGGAAAAAACCAAGAGAGAAAGAAAGAGAGAGAGAGAGAGAGATAGAGAGAGAGAGAATGATCGGAGGGGCTCGGCATGATTAAACTAATGTGTACGCAGTAAACGTCAGATACGAGAAACAAATAAAAAGCTCGATCATTGAGAACCACTCGTAGCTGAGCTACAGTAACATCTACGATCTACCGCAGAAACGGGTGCGAGATATTATTGAGAGTCCCACGGGCAGGAAAAATATCGGCGCTAATGGAGGCTAAAGATTATGCCACGGACGTAACCATATCGACAGAAATCGAGATATTGCGCTTCGAGTCCGGTAATGAAAATGGCGATTATGGCCACTTTTATCGCGGTATTTACGATACCACATATATCTTACCATGAAACGTCTGAGTAAACAAAATTTATCGTTTTCATTTATCTGTGTTTTTATTTTATTTTCTATTCTCTAATAAAATCATAATATAATAATATTATAATCTTATTAGAAAATAAGATTTTATTAGAAAATGAATTTTTAAAATAATATAGTAATATTATTCTCTATTCTCTAATAAAATCATAATATAATAATATTATAATCTTATTAGAAAATAAGATTTTATTAGAAAATGAATTTTTAAAATAATATAGTAATATTATTCTCTATTCTCTAATAAAATCATAATATAATAATATTATAATCTTATTAGAAAATAAGATTTTATTAGAAAATGAATTTTTAAAATAATATAGTAATATTATTCTCTATTCTCTAATAAAATCATAATATAATAATATTATAATCTTATTAGAAAATAAGATTTTATTAGAAAATGAATTTTTAAAATAATATAGTAATATTATTCTCTATTCTCTAATAAAATCATAATATAATAATATTATAATCTTATTAGAAAATAAGATTTTATTAGAAAATGAATTTTTAAAATAATATAGTAATATTATTCTCTATTCTCTAATAAAATTATAATATTATAATATTATTACAATTTTTTATTAGAGAATAGAATTTTATTAAAAAATAATATATTAATAATATATATATATAATAATATTATTAATATTTTATTTTTTAAGAAAATTTTAATACTATTCTCGTTATTGGTACCTTAATAAATGATAAAAAAATCGAAAGATAGAGGCAGAGAGAGATCGATATAGCAAAGTGTATGTAACCTTAAGATGTCATCGGCTGATATACAATATAGAAAGATCTTAATATTTTGTGCTTGCAGATCCGCCGATAGTATCGTTAAACCTCGGATCGACCTTAAGCCCAGAAGACATTAAAGAAGGGGATGACGTGTACTTTGAGTGCCACATTAGAGCCAATCCTCCCTGGTCCAAGCTCATCTGGATACACGATGTAAGAATTTTTAAAAATACCGCTTCTCATATATTATTTTTCTTTGTGCAATGTCATAATTAAAAATGTGCGTATATACGATACTACGTGAAACTTACGCAACGAAATTATTATACAAGAAGATTCTGATTTGATAATGATTTCGATATATGGAAAGCTTCGTATGTATCGAACATTGAGTGGAATTTTATTAAAATCCTTTATTTGCATATTATATAAGTTACTGTCACGCGACATATAAGAATAAGATGCATCGATTATGCAAACTCTATCTTGAATTTTGTCAATAATTTTACGGTTTTTTATTCAATAATAACTAACACATTACGAATTTATAATATATATTCCCATTAGGTCATCAATCAATATAATTTTTTTCAAGTAATACGATAAAAAAATATAGATCAATAACAAGATAGAAGATGGAAATTAATTATTTCTTTTTTTGGCGCTGTGAATACAATTCCGGCTTTTAAATTGCTCCATCATGTCTTAGTTTTGAGAAATTTGTGGTGAAAGTTGAGAAAATGGATTATTTTAATGTATTTTATCATGTTATAACTACGGTGACATGTCGGAGAAGTTTTGTTGCTATTAAAGTTAAGTGTGGTGTTAAAACTTTTAGCTTTCAGAAGGAATTGTTGTATATATCGGTTATGATTAATAAAATATTCATTGTTAAATATAGAGCTTAAAAGGTTGCGAATTAAATCAATAAGAATCTACTAAATAGTTTCTAGTTTTTTATTTAAACTTCAAAGTTTTTTAAGTCATTGAATACAAATCCGATGTTAAAATTGATAAATTTAAAATCAGTCAAAGTCATATGACAGATGTCAAATTAAAAACGGTCGCAAAAATTTATATACACATTTGGTAAACTTTTAATAATTTAATTTATAATTCTCTTTCTTGCAATAGACTTTACATTTTACTATAAAAATCTTATTAACCATAATCGTCAAGAAATTTTCTTTGAAATTTGAACATCTCAACACACACACAAACACAATATAATTAACTTTGATTACAAGAGAACTTCTTTACACGTTACATACCGTATAGCTATAACATAATACAATACATTAAAATAGCATCTTATTCAACTTTAATCGAAAATTTTTCAAAATTGTGACATGATGGAGTAATTTGGCAATCGGAAAGTCGTATCGACTTTCTTTTATGTGCCCGAAAAAAAAAATACTTTTTAAAATTGTATAATCAATGAAAACGTACACAGAATTTTACAAATTATAAATTTCAAATAATGTCGAAACATAAAGTCGCCCGTCAATCGTACCAGATTGAATACGATTCGTGGGAACTATCTCTCCGTCCGTATCTCAGGGAGAATAAAAAGGGTGTTACGAGTATAAAGCGGGATATCAAAACCAATGTTAGTCAGTCCCAGTCTCATACGAGATAGTTGCCTCCTGAGATCGCCTGCCTGCTTATTCTAGGCAGCACCGCCACTTGAATTTTGGAATGCTACTCTGCCGTCGCGCATTGTGTATACATCTACCTACCCTACCTTAGTACGCGGCAATTGCAACGGAGTCGGAAGTTAAAGGAACGCTCCCAAGGCGTATTCGGGACGAGAGACTATCAGCGACAAACTTTAGCACTGTGTATCGGTGGCAGAGCCGCGAACGCGCACTTCCTGAATTCTAATCGTCCCGATCATCACATCAGGGCTGCGGAATCGCGCGTACATCGCGATACGACACAACCATTACGAATGGCCGTGCATTGATAATTTTCCGAAATGTCGTATCTCGATAACTTCCGCGAACGACAACGACGATATACAGACGGGGGACTCGTTAACGAAATGTAGAATTCGATTACACCCGAGCAAAGTTCAATCTCTCCCAAACGCGGTCGGTTACGCGATTACGAACGGCTGCGCATTAATCTTCTCCCCGACGCGCGTCGGGGATTTCTCTTAACTTTCGCGTTAAACTCTCTCAAACAATATAAGGGGACATCCTCTCTTTCGAACAGTTCTATACAAACTTTGCAAAAGTTATTATTTTATTGCATGTTGACGACAAACGAAATATACGGTGTCGACGGTGATCCGAATAGGGTTTAATTCGCAAATGTAGTTTAGGTTATAGAATACGATTAAAATTGTTATTTTCATCGTGAGTCCGCGATTTTGTCATACGCAATGTAATAGAATTTAAAGACATCTTTCAATCGCGTTCGAATAATTATATAAAAATTTTATGAGTAATGATTAATTATATATTCCAAAAATATATATTATATAACGTTTTAAATGATTACAATTTCGCTGTTTTCTACAACTCTTTTTTTTTCTTGCTTATTTTAAAGCATATATTTATTAAAGTATTTTGTTTATTAAAGTTTGATAATAATTTTTACAAGTTTATTAACAATTTTCTGCTGCATTGTTTTGAATTTTTAAGAGAGAGATGACGTTACACGTCTCCTTAGATTTTAAAGTATCAATCCAATACCTGGCGAAAGATTGCGAAGTATATATGTGCCATAATTATATTACCATCGGTTAGCCGGGAATCTCCGTAGGGACGCGCGGCGACGATGCATTAGACTTTTCCGGGATCAGCCCGGCCTCATATCCCTTTCGTGTTCCGTCGCTCACTTTAACCCGACTCATCCCTCTCCCCCTCGCTTCCTTTCGTCTTTTCGTTTCGTCGCTACGGCGACCTTTCGCCGTAGGATATACGTCGCGAAGGGCTGCAGGAAACGGGCTAACGGTGGGCGAGCAGCAGCAGCAGCTGCTACCGCGTAAGAGATTTCCCTCGAAATTGCATCTTAAAAATATGATCCGACTTCATTCCGGAGGGAGAGCATCCGACTATCACGCAGTGTCGTCCCCGTTCCTTTTCCCCTCGCCTCCCTGGCGTCTTTCCTTTCCGCGCAACTTCGCTTCCTCGCTCGCGGATAGCCTTCCGAGTCGAGCTTCGCTTACGAGCAAAACGATCCGCTCTTCTGGCTCACTAAGCTCTTCTCGTTCTCTTTGTACGTACCTTTAAACGATGGATGGATTACCTAACTGAACTCGATTCGCGCCGCGTTATTGGTGAAAAAATGGATTTTAAAAAATTATCCGCTATCACCGCAGCCGGAAGTTTCCAATGATTTTATCGAAATTTCGTAACGAAAGGTAGTATGTACTTCTTGGGGTATTTAAATAGAAATAAGCATTCCCCCAAGTCGATTTGTCGACTTGATTGATATATTCGACGGAAAATAAGTTGTGTTTTTTTTAATGTATTTGTGTGTGTGTGTGAGAAATTATATGCTCTTTGCTATATTATGTAAGAACGTGCCGGGAAATAAGGTCAAGCGTCGTAACAGGAGAAATATGTCGTTGATCGATTTTCTCATTCTCCTCATCCCATTGATTTCGCGTTATCGGTCGATTCTCCAACACTCTCACCTCTAGGCGTGTCATTGGGGTGAATTTTCACGTTCGCGCTCGGTACACCAGAACCGTTTCATTCGACAGCGCCACGGTCCCTTTCATTCATCCGGAAAGGTTTGCCTAGAAATTACAGGGGCCGTTGGCACGTTCTATCTGCCAATCAATCCCGAGCTAGCAATCGGGTTCGGCGCCACCCGGGTCTTAGAAAAGCGTTTCGGGCTGCCCCAGCAGCAGTAACCTTTTGAGTGGCAATCGTAAAAAGGGAGAAAGAATCATGAACGAGCGAAGGGCAAGAAAAAGGAGAGGGGAAGGAAGCGAGCGAGAGAGCGATCGCAGAGAGGGATCCAGAAAGCGAGAAAGAAACGAGGAATAAGAAGAATAAGGAGAAAAGGAGGAAGAAATCGAGAAGGCGAAAAAAGAAATGTGAGGTGGCCGACATAATGGAGTGCAGTGATTAAGTCGGTTCTATCGTTCGCGGGGACAATAGAGAAGTTCTGTACCTACCTGCAGCATCGACGAGCCAATCGGCCGACTCGGATTTAGACGAGGAAAGAGAGAGCCTGAAAGGATTCCCTCAACTCATCTTTTTTCGCAGAGTGGATTGACCGAGCGGACTGCCGGAAGGGCCTCCATTAATATCGTTGCCCTCGCGAACACGCAGAAAGATTGAGAATTTATCTCGACCTCCCCCCTTTTCGCTTTCTTATTAAGAAACAGTTTGACTCGCTCGAATTTTTATCCTATACAAAAAATCTCGGGGAGTTGAAAATAAACAAATAAAATGTAACTTCTTCTCTGATAAAATCCAAAGCGTCGAGGCATTAAGACGTCTTGGATCTATAAAACGGTTGAAAACGAAATTATTTTTCTATGCTTTACTGTATGAATAAATCGGCGAATGAATCTTGCCAATGCAAAAATGGCGATATCGATCAAACTCGAGAGATTCCATGTCGCCTCGCCGCTACTCGATGTACTCATATCGACGTCGTGGCTTTTGTACATCGATTAGATCGCACGAGCGCACCGAGAATAACGGCTTTCTCACTGCGAATCGACCGAATACATTTCCCTCTCACGCGAGATCCAGCCCGACGAGTTTGGATCTTAATGCAACGTGGGGTAAGAGAGCGCGGAGGGATCGAAAGATATTTGTGTGTGTATGCGTGCGTGTATGTGGGTCGGTGGTTCCCGAGGAAGTGGATGCTAACGTCGAATTTGGCGGGCCGTACATCAATCAATTTCACTACCATCGCGATCAAGGCGCGTCGGAATTTCCTCTAAGAGCGACTCCTCGGAACGGAACACGAAGGGGGAGGGGAGGAGGGGTGCGGATTCGTTTCGCACGATTTCGATCTCGCAATTTTTCGTTGAGAGAGATAAGACGAGCCGGCGGGGAATCAAGAGCGATAACCGATCGCGTAGTCACCTTACGGTCTTTGCCTGGCGCCTTCTAAAAAGAGCGCGATAATCGGCAACTTTCCGAACAGCTGTTCGAAACTACTTCCTCGTCGTATCTCGACGTGTTCCGCCGAAAACATCGACTCCAATCCCGGATGCTATTGATTCTAATAATCGTTTC